CCGAACTGGGAGCATTTCACCCCTGATTTTAACCCTCTTTCTGCCAGCCAAACTTTCCAAGCTCCACTGCTTCTTTGTCTTCTGGTGAATAGCGCCTCCCTTTTGGGAATCCAGACTACATCTACCGGTACTACACTTCTCTCTTCTGTACACTTATCCTAGGTAGATACAAACAGATATACTTCCCAATTTTCTTCTTCCCTAAATCAGTCAGCAGCCCTTGTCTCTTTTATTTATCTTTTCTGTAATCTTTAAAAGAAAGGGCATACTACATTTGGGAATCAACACATGGCAGTACCTAAGTGAGCTTTTGTGGGCTCATAAACTAAGCTGGGTTGGGTCTGGATGCCATTTGGATGGGAGACCCCCAGACAATATCACGGCTGCAGACTAGAGTAGGAAACCAATTGAATCCAGGAAAAAGGCAAGAGCAAAGTATTTCTACACTGTTGCCAAGGAAATGCCAAGGTTATGTCTATGTAATCCCCAGAACATCTTTACCTATAATGTGGCTTTATGCCCAGAACCCAAATTTCTCCAGAGTCTCTAGAGGTGTGAGAGAGGAAAAGATGAAAAAAGATCCAAGGAAGGATATGTCTGTATTTTTTAAAATACAGATGTATGTAGCACTGATTTGGGAGGACAGTCAGGTTGACAGATCTTGAGCAGAATGACCCCACCCCCCAAAAAAAGCCCCATCACTGATGCCTTAGTTCAGGGGTGTCAAACTTGATTTCACTGAGGACCACATCAGGGTTGTGTTTGACCTCAGGGGAGCCAGGAAGGGCGTGGCCAGCATGACATCACTCATGTCGGGGGGGGCTGCCTGTGGTGGTCTGAGTGCTCTGTCAGCAAAAACAGGCTCCTGAGCTCCATTTTCGGCTGCAATGGCATCCTGCAACCCTCTGCCAGCAAAAACAGAACTCGGGAGGGCTGCGCATGACCCTTGCCAGCTCCGTTTTCACTGACAGAAGTACCGCAGACCGATCCTTCACTGTTTCCAGGGTGGCCCTGCAGGCCAGATCTAATCACCTCACAGACCAGATCCGGGCCTTGAGTTTGACACCCCTGCCTTAGTTCAATCTCAGCACCAAAACCTGCAAAAGAGAAAGATGTGAAAACCACATTGCTCTCTGAGTAAGAGACAGGGGTCTCACAAAGTGGGTCAAAGATCAGGAAGGGGTCCTCTTCCCTCCAGCTCTCCAAGGTAGAGAGAGAGCCAAGTGATACATTGGAAGGAGGGATGGGGTGTGGTAGAAAGAAGGAAGTTTTCTGGAATTAAGCAATTACACCAACTTTGGCTCTTGACAGGGTTATGCTTTCCTTTGAAGAGCATGCTAGCAATTTGTTTGCAGCAACTAATATGTTTATAAGTTAGCCTTCTTGGTGCCATGTAACCTTTCTGCTATGGGAGTTACATGGAATTACTAGTTTAATTTGGACCCTAATTCAAGGACCTGATTATCACCTATAAAACTCTGTATGGTTCAGGACCTTGTTAGAGTCCACTTTTTCCAGATAAACTGCCCATTCAGAGCTAACTTAGATTACGTGTTAAAAGTCTCCACTTACTGAGAACAAGGCGGAAGGGGCCATCTCCGGGGGAGCTTTTTCCTCCTAAATAGACGGTTTCTGAAGGTGAGGATGGTATTTCTGATTTCATGGCTTTCCAGAAATGTACAAAAGCTGCTGGGTCCTTGGTACTCTCTGAGCTTCTCGAAAACATTTCCTTACCCAACTAGGTTACATCATCAGCGCTAGAAGGGAGTGGAGTTTTCAAACCCCCTCAGAGAGTAGCAGGAACCCCAAAGTTCAATCTTGAGGTACAAATATTCTATTAGTGTATAATGCTTTCTTGTTTCAGAAGTCCTCGGGGTTTTTGACTGGTGGGGTGACCAGTATCAGATGAATAATTGTCAGATGCAATACAATACAATGATGTAAATTTATGTTTAGTTTATTTCTAAACCTTTATTGTTTGCACTGGCTTTTGATTGTTGCTCCCTGTCCATCTACAGCAGTCTTTGGAGATTTAAATGGCTATAATTTATTATAAATAAATAAGTAAATAAGTAAATTCAATACCATTGCTTAGAACCAACAATAAATCTTGAATTTGTGGAACAAAGATAATTTAGTTTCTCTTTGGTCCATCAGCAAAAAAAACCCCTACAACTGTTTTTTCCTCCTTTTTTTTGCTCAATGCTGGATAACACATACATATTCATCAGCCATTGATTATTTGTATGTGCAAATGGGTCATCAAGGATGTAACACAACAGATAAAATTTGCTCAGCCCCTCCGACACAATGCTTTTTAATGCAGCCCATTCCAACTTTCAGTCGCCAAGTGGAATTGAGTGTGGAGAATTGCAATGAAGAATAAATCAGTCTGCATTGATTTTCTTATCTGTGTAACAGTACCTTTGCAAAAATGTCTTCTTTTTAACTGGGAAAGATTATTTCCCTAATATTCAGGCTTCCTTTTTTGTATAGCTAAAAAGAAAGCATGCACTTTTGTATTTTTTTTTCTCTCTCTCTCAATAGTAACATATAAGTCTGCTAAAAGATCTGATACAATTTTGCTTTCTATTCCAAATTCATGATTTAAATTCAAGTAATTCATGTTGAAGAAAGTTAGCACCTACCCCTCCTAGAAGAATGAAATATTTTAAGAAATATTAAAAAGGCAGAATATTATATTTCCCTGGATGAGAAAAGGAGAAACAGGTTTTTAAAGACAAAGAGCAGCTCCCTGCCCCCAGCAGATATTTGGTGCATATTAAGACTGGGCCAGCCTATCTACAAAACAAAAGACCTCAGCTCCAGGCTGATGGGATTAAGACATGACCCTCAGGACATAATAGGAGCAACAGAACTCACCACATGGCACAACCAAGCCCCTTCATTACATCACCCAGCACAGTTCAACCAGACTTATCTCAGACAAACTCCTAACTCCTAGGATTTGCACATGAACCCTACAGCAACCAATAGAATACCTGCCCTTGCCACAGTAACAGGAAGCTCAAGTTCAAAGCCCAAGAGAGGGTATAAATAACACCCACTCTTCACTCCATGTGTTCAACTGCACCAGGACCATGTGCTTAATGATTCTGCTGCATTAAACCAGTTTTCCAAGCAGCCATGTTTCCAGTGTCTTTCTCCCCACTTGGAACTGAACCCAGATGGACATTTCTTTCAACAATGTTATGTGATAAAAGTTCCCACACAAATGTTCATTGCTATACTGGTATCTTCCATTATTTTATTATAAGGATAGTTTCAAATATAACAAGGATCTTATCCAAGAAGCATATCCACACTGGAAATAGTGAAAATGAGTGTACACTGGCCAGTTCTTATTCTGCATCTATTTATTTATTTATTTATTTATTTATTTATTTATTTATTTATTTATTTATTTATTTATTTTTATATGCCGCCCTTCTCCGGAGACTCAGGGCGGCTTACAATGCGTTAAGCAATAGCCTTCATACTTTTGTATGTTTTATACAAAGTCAGCTTATTGCCCCCACAAACCGGGTCCTCATTTTACCCACCTTAGAAAGGATGGAAGGCTGAGTCGACCTTGAGCCTGGTGAAAATTGAACTCACAGTAATTGCAGGCAGCTGGATGTTAAATGCTGCCTTAGTAGGAGGCATTAGCCTCCTACGCCACTCAGGCTATTGATTGTATATTATTATTAATTGTTATTGATTATTGTTGAATATACATACTTTAAAATAAAATGAATGTTTATGTATAGTACATACACATATTACAGGGTACATGGTTTATTTGTCTTATATAAAAATTTATATATTGTTCACATCTTTCTCTTTGTGGGAGGTTCCATCCAATATTTGATGATATCTACCTAAGAAATTCCTCCTTCCTTTCTTTTTCTTCCCCCTTGGATTGTGAATTGTTATAAATGTGTCATCCTTGCCCCACCCATTACATTTGTGATTTGTTTGATTTATGGACCTGTGAGGAGGAGGAATAACAGAGTGGGAAGAGACCTTGGAGGTCTTCTAGTTCAAGCCACTGCTCAGCTAGGAACCCTATATCATTTCAGACAAATGATTGTCCAATCTCTTCTTTAAAACCTCCAAGATTGGAGCACCCATAACTTCTGGAGGCAAGTTGTTCCACTGATTAATTGCTCTGTCAGAAAATTTCTCCTTAGTTCTAGGTTGGTTCTTTTCTTGATTAGTTTCCATCCATTGCTTCTTGTCTGGAGGAGGAGAAGGAATAATCAATATGATAGCTGCATCATTCTGGACCTATAAGGAGGATGGAGAGGAGGAGGAAAATGAATCAGTATAGTAACCACATTATTCTGGACCAATGAGTCTCCATTCACTTTTTCAAAACTCCACCTCCCAATGATGCTGTTGGGCTACCTGATCTATACTTGGAGAATGAATTGGAGATTCAGTTCATGGTGAATATCAATAGCATGACTCACCAAACAAACTGGATAATGCATCTACCTCCTGAATGAAAGGCATGCTTTGCGTTACCAAAACTGGGCTGCAATAAAATCCTGTTTCTCCATATGATAGCAAAGGGTTAGAGTTGTCTCTTTGTTGCCATCTAGTGGTCAACGGAACTGTTTGCAGATAAGATCTGGTGAGTTGTTTGCCATTAGATGTTGCAACAAAGCAAAGCAAAGCTCTTGAAATGTACCCCTCACTTGCTATTTCTATTCCAAATCCAATAGAAATTTGGATTTTTAAGAATGGATACCTTTTTTTTCTTTTTACATTTACACATTATAATGTCTTTTAATGCTGTTAATGCCAAGGAAATATTTCTACCTTAAATCCTCTTGTGGTATTGCTGTAAGTCTATTTTGCAATTCCAAACAAGTGCATGTATGTGCAATACCCCCCCACACACACAAATAAATTATAGTTTGTTCTATTATCATTTCCTGAATTTCCATTCAAACAAAACCAATATTATCATGTAATGTTTTTCTTTTGAATAGTGCAGATGGTATGAATATGCAGATGGGTGATTTTCTAATCAATACCGTGGCACTTGGGAGTCTGTGTAAGTACTGCAATAATGCATTAGTCAGGAGAGATGTTGTAACATACTGAGATCACACAATAAATCTGAGATGCCACATCTAGACCCTCCAGGGAAGATGGCAAGCCATGGGTTACAGCTTAAGTTTAAGGCAGTGAAGACTTTCAAATATGATGGGGAAATAATGCAATTTTAAAACTTTAATAAAACCACTGGGGAATTAATTTCACCAGAGCGATATTCCTTCTCAAGACATTCATGATCTTATGTTAGCTTTGCAGCTAATCAGAGCAAGAGACATTTTACCTGTTATCTCTGGAATAAGCACAGTATGGTATCTGTGAATAGCACTAGATCTTTAATGTGCTGAATATGAAAATAATCCCTTTATAGTGATGGTTTAGCACTATAAAACTGCATTATGCAAACAGCACACAGACAGCATAAACCTCAGAGATTCAGAATCTGAAGAGCTTACAAATTAATCTCATAAATGCCGGCTGAAGCATGTTCTCACAGAATGCACTCAGCCATGAAACTTGACCAACTGAACCTGCAAAGTTTTAATTAGTAGCTTTTTATAATACGGTATTAAATGACAATGCACGGTTCTTGTCATTTTTGTTTATTTTTGCACACGCGTATGGGACATACAGTTGGCACCCTTGGGTTCCCTTTCAAAAGTCTTACTTAAAGATTTCCCTTTTCCTCCTCTTTTGTGCCACCTTGGCAATTATACCAATTGGTGCGGTTGTTGGCATCTGATTTTTAATCAAAAAGCTGCCAGCTGATCATGAGACATATGCAAGTCATATCATGCCAACAATCCTGTGATAAGAATGCCAATTTAAACCTGGCCAAGGGTGACAAGGCAACAACATTCTCCAAGCACAGACTTCTAATTTTACCAGAACTGTACATCTGGTAATACAGAACTGTAACTTTACACCATCCCCTACAAAATTCTTCTGGGAAAGCCAATCAGAGAGACAAATGCAACTTTCAGGAGCTCTTTGCCTATCAACAGTGGCATCTGAAATACTCTGGTGTGATCTGGAAGTGGTGCACTGATTACGTTACCTAGTTGGGTAATGAAACATCTGAAAGAGAGCCACCAAGCACAGAGAGCACCAAGGACCCCACAGTTCAACCCGAAGCCACAAATATCCTCTTTTCTCAGTGCTAAATATTACTTGTCCTAGATTGATGGTAGGAGGCTTTCATGTTGATTTTGGGGGATGAAAGACAATCATGTTTTATTTCATGATTGGTGTACACTCTGAGTAGTTCAGGTCAGGTATCCATTTTGTAAAAGTCCGAAAAGGAAGAAAGGTTGTTCCAATCCAAGGACGGTTCACACAATCAAATTCTTCATCTATTTAATGCAGCAAGATTGACTCGACCATTCAACTCTGTTTCTGTGCTATCAGCAAAAAAACACACTGAATAGTCAATTATTTACTTCAATTAATAATTTATTAGGGTCCCTGACCAGCATATAAGAAAGATAACTTGCCATCAGTCTTAAAAACGTAGCATTGAATTTGTTGAAAATCTTATGCTTAGCTATATTTCTTGATGTGTTTTCATGCTATCTGCATTCTCTTCTGCCTACAAAATATCCTCCTCCATTGATCCTACACTGAATACATGGCAAAATTGGAAAATCATTTGTTTCTTTGTAAAAAGGTGACTATAGAGTCAGCTTACAATCTGCAGCTCAGATAGAGGATAAATTGTAGTCCACTGTCATACAGGTTGGCAGTAGCTAGTTGATGTTGGCTGATCTCAAAAAAGCTAAAAAGGATTGGGTTACAACTGGAATGGGATTCTCTCCAAAGTTGCTGGTGTTGATAAACTAGTTTGGGGAGTTAAAAAGAAACGTTTTGGAAGAAGGCAATGGCAAACTATTTCCATTTATTTATTTGTTTGTTTGTTTGTTTGTTTGTTTGTTTGTTTCAATTTGTATACCGCCCTTCTCCAGCAGGACTCAGGGCAGTGAACAGCCAGAATAAAACAGAACATACAAAATTTAAAAACAGTTTAAAAATAATTAAATATTTTTGGCCGCAATTTAAAACAAACCCAATTAAAATCAATTAAAATTAACCAAAACTATGGGATCAAGCCAGCCCGGCTAGGTGAAATAAATAAGTTTTCAGGGCCCGACGAAAAGTCCGGAGGTCTGATATTGTACGTATCTCTGGGGGGAGGTAGTTCCAGAGGGCGGGCACCGCCACAGAGAAGGCTCTCCCCCTGGGGGTCACCAGCTGACACTGTTTGGCGGACGGCACCCTGAGGAGGCCCTCTCTGTGTGAGTGTACTGGCCGGTGGGAGGCTATTGGTGGCAGAAGGCGGGCTCGTAAATACCCCGGCCCTAAGCCATGGAGCGCTTTAAAGGTGGTCACCAACACCTAAAAGCGCACCCGGAAGACCACCGGGAGCCAGTGCAGCTCGCGCAGGAGAGGTGTCACATGGGAGCGCCCTGTCGCTCCCATAATCCCCCGCACGGCCGCATTCTGGACCAGCTGGAGCCTCCGGGTGCACCCCAGGGGGAGCCCCATGTAGAGAGCATTGCAGTAGTCCAGGCGGGAGGTGACGAGAGCCTGAGTGACCGTGCGTAGGGAGTCATGATCTAGAAAGGGACGCAACTGGCGTATCAGGCGAACCTGATAAAAAGCCCCCCTGGCCACGGCCGTCATATGCTCTTCTAAAGACAGCCGTGCATCCAGGAGGATGCCCAAGTTGCGAGCCCTCTCTGTGGGGGCCAGTGATTCGCCCCCAATAGCCAGCGATGGCACCAGCTGGCTATATTGGGACGCCGGAAGCCACAGCCACTCGGTCTTGGAAGGGTTGAGTCAGAGCCTGTTTCTCCCTATCCAGGCCCGCACGGCCTCCAGGCACTGGGACATATTAGGAATATTCCATTTGGAATATTTCCATATTCCAAAACCTTGTAAGAAGTTTCCAGGAGTCAACCTGAGGATGTCTTCACATTTACGGTACAAAACAGAGGCTAGATTGATGAAATGAGATTAGCTTGCTTTGGCTTGGTGTATTGTATGAACGCCGCCATTGGTATATAAGTCAGTATGACATGACTAAACAAACTACAGTAGCAATTAATCTGATACTTAAGAATTACTCTGCTGCAGAATTGTTGTCCTTGAATTGAAAAAAACCCAACAGTTTGATATGTATTTCTGTGACCCCAGTGGAAGAAAGGCAGACGTGAATTTGGTTACATAAATTGCATTACTGATCTAAGTATAGAAATGTTCAACATGTTATTTGTGGATGGCATTGCTGTATGCATGTTCTTATTTGTTTATGTTGTTTGATAATGCAGGTTATTGTACCAGATTTATACATTGGAGTGGCATATTTACATCACTTCCCACTCTATTGTAGTAGACAGTAACCGGAGGTTGGCAACTTCAAAGCATGACCGCAATGAAAAATGTCAAGGAGTAGCAAACAATATGTGAATTATTGGGTGAAGTAGTTTTAGTCTAGGATAAAAAATATGAGTTTGTTGGCAGTCAGAGACACTTCTTTTCTTTTTTTATTCCCATAGCACAAAAAGCTGCATTGGCTAGAATTCCCTTCTTAATTTAATGCGTAGAATCGTGTCTTCTTTGTTGCATACTTCTGTCCAACCTGAGCCTCATAATTTGTTCTCAGCACACTCATATAGCATAGCTGCCAACTCTTGTTGTTTTCCATTAAATTATACAGATGACCTATGAAAAGGGAATTAGACAAATTTATCCCATCTGGCTCCACTCAAGTTTGTCATTCAAGAATGAGATGTTGCCTAGGTTTGGGAAAAAAGGTTCTGCATATTTTAATTGCTATTGATATAATTTATGACCCAAATAGATGTTACAGTCAGGTGGAGATAGATTTGCTACCACCAAATTTGGGAAATTGCATTTGAACATCTTCCCCCACCAACCCTCCCAATGATTCATACCATGCCACTAAACTCTTCCAAAAAAACTTGAAAACATTTATTATTGTTTGCAGGTTAAATGTCTTTAGTTGCAGGCTGTCTCTTCCGTTTAACAGGTGTAGAACATCTGTTACATTTTATGGAGACAAGGATATTGAATTATAAACGAGGCTGAGTTAGTTTGGTTTCTTAATGAAACTTGGAGAAAATCAAAGCCTCTCTTTAGGATGACTAATTAGAATTTTTCACATCTTGCTTTTCTTTTCCAATAAGTTTCAAGTTAAAGCTTTGGCCCACCGGCTGACTGATGTAGAGGAAAGAAACATGGCTGTTGTTGCATATGAAGAGCCAAAGAAAAAAGGAAGAAATTTATTTTTTGTTTCTCGGATGAGGTGGGAGAATGGGGGAGAACGCTCAGAAGAATTTGAGGCAGCTGGCTTAACATGGAGGTAAGTATTAAATAGATATTGTCTTCCGTTGGAATCAATATTGAGGTATGGTGACCCAAAGAGGTGAAATTTGACTCAAATTAGGGCAGTCAATCTTGCTATTGATCAAAGAGAAGAAATCAATGTAATATATACATTATAAACATTTTTCTTTCAGTCAGGATGCTAAAGGCAAGGCTGATTTTTAAGAGGTTTCTGTTGAACACAAGCTTGCGATGGCTGAGTTTTTTACACCATTTAACCAAATAGAGCAGGGGTGTCAAACTCGATTTCATTGAGGGCCGCATCAGGATTGTATTTGACCTCAGGGGACCGGGATGGGTGTGGCCTGCTCAATGACATTCATGTCAGGGGCGCCTATGGCGGCCCGACTGCTCTGCCAGTGAAAACAGGCTCCCGAGCTCCATTTCTGGCTGTGACGGCCTCCTGCAACCCACTGCAGCCTCGTCGCCGTCGCAGCCTCCTGAGCTCCATTTTTGCTGGCAGAGGGTCGCAGGAGGCCGTTGCAGCCTCCTGAGGTCCGTTTTCACTGGCAGAGGCACTGCAGGCCAGATCTAAGCACCTTGTGGGCTGGATCCAGCCTGCGGGCCTTGAGTTTGACATCCCTGAAATAGAGATAGTGCTTACTTGGACTTCCTTCTCCCAATCCTTCCTTCCACAGGTATATCAGAAACATTTTTTTTCAGTCCTATGTCCTCATTTCCTAGTAGGAAATTGCAAAATAGAACTTGATAACAATTTAATACAATATCCCAAAGCTGCTTTTTCAGGAGGCAACTGGACTTATTTTTTTTTCCTTTGAAGACGTTTCGCTTCTCATCCAAGAAGCTTCTTCAGCTCTGACTGGATGGTAGGGAATGGAAGGATTTATATTCCATGCAGACAGCTGATTATTTGCATTCTTTTAGAGAGTCCTTGAGGCCACTGGGAGGTTTATCTGTGTACTCAGGGTCACCTGAGTAGAGCAAATGGGTGTGGAGCCTTCTTGGGACAACCAATTTCTCCATAGAAATTTAATACAAAACTTTAAAAAATAAATAAATTAAAATTAGAAATATGGGTAGGGGAGAAGTAAGCCTGCCTATCCCAACAATTACAATAATGAGCTAACCACTCTGTGGTTAGATTCAGAAAAGAACTATTTGGAAATTCTCTCGACAAGGAAGGTTTCTTTCCTGTATTGTAACATTGCTTTACCTATGCATTGCTACCCTATGGGAACAGTTTGGAAAATCAACAAAAAGATTCTAGGTGAAGGTTAATCACCACAAGAAAACAATTAAGGGAGAGGAAAGACATTAGGCATAGTTGCTCATAAAGAAAAGGCCATTTGGTCTGTTCACAAGCTTTACCAAATGTAATGGGGATTTAAGTGATGTCTTATTCCCATAAGCAAAATTCTGCTTAATGTGGCTTTGTTATCAAGCAACGATGGATGCGAGCAAAAAGCTGAATTCGAATCTCACAGAAAAAGTTTTGGATTTGGTTAGGTTCCTTCTGAGTACATGATGTTATTAATGAGCCATATATTAACACTGCCTGTATAATCAGCCTTGCTATTCAATGGGGAGTCTTATCTTTTGGTTTCTTATCACTAAGTTGTCTTACACCTCGTATGGTTTCTTTTTTATTTTACTTTTTTAAAAGAACACTTATTTATAAAACATATTTTTTAAAAAATGAAGAAGTTACCCTCATGACATTTTTAGAACTATAAAAGCTACACTGGGGAAGCAAGATGATATGCCTGCTGCTCTCTACAGGAAATCTTTTTAACCAGTTTTCTTTTCACTCTCCTATGTTCTCCCACTGCAGTTGGAAACACTGCACAACCCTCTCTACTCTGTTTTTTGTTATTGTTGTTGCTCTCTCTCTCTCTCTCTCTCTCTCTCTCTCTCTCTCTCACACACACACACACACACACACACACACACACCGCTATGAGTTCTTGAATGAAAGATGAAATGTAATCCTAATTAAATAGACATAAATGAAAATACATCTAGTAATAAATAAATGTATTTTAAAGTTCTCTTCTTATACAGTGTCCCTGGCTTAGAAACATCAATTTTAGGTGAATGGGGCAGTTGTACAGTCTCTCTCTCCCTCTCTCCATCCATCCATCCATTTATTTATTTATTTGGAAAATGTATTTGGCTGTCTATCTTAAGCAAAGAATTCTGGCTAGATGACTATATCAAACAATAAAACAATAAGAACAGCATAAATATAAATGCCAATTTAAAAAAAGATACAAAATAAAACAAGCTACATGCCCTTTGAAATGTGGGTTATCAAGTTGTACAAGATATATCTGGAAAAAAAGAAACTTAAAGCATCTCATCAATGAAACTACTCTGTTTGGGGGTAAAAAAAAAAAATCTAGATTCTGCTAGCTTCTAGCCACGATTTACCAATCTAGGTTTTTGCATGACCCATCCAATTTCTTCTCTGAAACACACCTAAAATAAATTTAACAAGTCTAGCCTTACTTTCAGTGCTGCTGAGGTAACTGACAATTCTGAAGGTTTTCTTTAAAAAAAAAAAATCAGAAAACTACATAATCTTCCATTTTTATTTTAGTTCTTCTGCCCAGCTCGATTCTATCTCTCCCTTTATGGTCAAATTCCATAGCAACAGTTAGAGAGATTGCTAATGAAAGAAGAGTTACTTCACAAGCTTCACTTATGTATTCTCCTCACATCCGAGTGTCTCTTTTATCAAACAGAATTTGCACACTCTGATGAGAAAATAAGAGGGTACCTTGGAAAACAGCTCAGCTCAAATCCTGAACTTGGACTTAGCATCTCATAAGCTGTGAACTATCGATGGAGAGTGGCTTGTCAATCCTACAAATGATTAAATGGAAGAATAAATAATAATTTAAGACTAGGTCAACAATGGGTGGAAGAGATACCTTTAGTAGGCTTGGCATTAGTAATCACTGCTTGGATGCTAAGGATGCAGATATTGTTGAAAGAACCAAATAAGACATTTTAAAGGCATTCCTTTATGTAATCTTATTTACAAAATACTCAAGGGCAAATACAAGCAAAATACCCATAATCTTATATACTGTAATTCAATTATCTAGGCACCTAGAACTGGATAGAAAACAATTATTGAGACTTTGTTGTGTATAATTAACAAGGCTTAATCAGGTGAGATAAAAATAGCCTGCCTTGTCATCATATTGACCTTCTCTTGGTCATCTTTTCATTACAGCAATCTTCCAACATATTTACTACCACATGAAAATACCCACATCCATTCTAAGTTCTTGCCACTATTTGTCTACTTGTCAAAAAAAAAAAAACACACATCAATTCTTTGTGTTCCAAGGCTATCAAAGAAACTTAATAAAGCCAGCTTAGAGTTCAGTGTAATATGCTGAATTATGATTTACCCTATTTTAATTTTAAAATGAGTCCAAAATAAGGGGACACTTTTATAAAAATACCACACATGATAGACAATATGTATAAAAATAGGTACAGTATTATATTCAAATGCAGCTTCAAATTTTTATTGTTTCAGAAGTATTGCTAGAAAACTTGTTTAAAAGAACCATTTCTTCCAGTTAAGATGAACCTCTGTGCAAGTAGGTAAGTCTACACTTGGGCCCATTCAAGCAAGAAATATATTGTCCAGAGATAGATATAGTCCATAGCAAGTGTATTCTAACCCCAAAACTCCAGAATATCTGATTCAGCACTGACTTGGTAGCACATCATCAATCAGTCAAGTTCAATTGAAATTGATATTGATATTAATCTTGGTAGATATTTAAAACATGCGATTTGATCTTCCCTTTTCAAAGTGGTACATTTCCAGGAAACATTGTTCTTAAAAACCAGTGGAGTTTGGTAGAGCTTTGGTATATCTTTTTTTTTTTTTTACAGTATGGGAGAAATAGTGCATTCATTCCTTTATTAGATATATAGTAGATAAGGTAAAATAATAAAGTTTCACTGCCATATAATCAAATGACATACACAAATTTGATGTACGTAATTTATAAATAATTTGGATGTGTTTCAGCTTCTCATTCATGGTGTTGAATAGTGCGTAATGAGGAAAAAAGAAGTGATAGGAGGTGGAAAACCAAATGTAGAAATTGGAATTGCCATACTACTTCTACAAACCAGAAAGATAATAATCAAAGAATTATCTGAGGTAAATTTTTGGTACATACAGGGAACATATGCAAGAGAATAACCCCTTGAATAATAACTCAAGTATTTCAATGCACTTTGTACTAGAAAATTTCCCGGTAGGATGTGCCTTTAACTTTTATATTCTATTGGCCTTTCTTGCTTTGTTGAAATGCTACAATCAGAACCCGAAACTCTTCGTGAAAACTTCTTATCTGAGATGCTCTTTTCATTGTTATTTCTCTGCTTATCGCCTCACCTAAATGCACCCCATAGATGAGGTCAGGTTCACTTCAATTAGGAAGGGAAAAGTAGAATATGCCATAGTGTGACTAGTTTCCTGACACTTCAGCTGCTTCGATGAGAGATGAATGATTCCTCTGTCCAGACATTTGCAATTAAAGTGAAGATGCCGCCGAAAACAGTTGGCTCATTATATGATGAACCTGGGCAAATACGAACGGTGTAGAAGGTGCGTACATATAATAAGGAGATATTGACTTTTGCTGAAGGTCAGGATCACAATTTATTAACCCAGGAGGTAAATATTGACTGAAACTTAAGACAGCTCTTTTTTTCTTCCCTGAGTTTTTCTCATTTTTAGCCTAGAGAACTTAGTGCAGGACTTGCTAAATAATTCTGTCTGCTGCTTGGTAAGCTGTAGAAGTCATTGTTTTGCTTGCAGAGAGCCTATATTGGTCTCCTGGGGAGCGGAGAAATTTACAATGTATTTTAAGAGGATATTTAAAATCATGCTAATTATTTTTCATCAGTTCTGCTCTACTCAAGCAGAATCCTATTACTGAACTGAGGTTTTTAAATATCTAAAGAGCTTTGGCCATCATTTCTAGCTTTGTTCAAACTGACCGCCATTGTCCATCCCCTCCTGCAACCCTGGATATTTGGCTTCTGTTTGTGGAAATATTTAAATATCAAGTAATGCTGTACAAAATCTCACATCGTTATAATCGGGTATGCTTTTTCTTTGTTCTTTTTTAAAGTCAAAGTATTAAATTATCAGCAAATTATGTTTATTGTCGTTTGTCACTTCTCCACTAATGAAATGCCACTAGAAGTGACTTCACTCTGATACACAGAGTTAAGACTTGGGGCAAGATTTACTGCCCACTGCCCAGTACAATAAAGTTGCAAAAAAATAAAACTAGTATGAATTCTGTTTTGTTTTTTAAGAAGAGGCATGATAAAGACAGAGCTAAAAGGATGCATTTCTTTCTGTCCTTTTAACAGGAGCAAGTATAGTATCCAGGAGGTGATTATAAAAACATTAAGATACCATATTTGTGGCATAATGTTGCTTTCAGTATGTCAATGTTTCTATCAAAATATAAATTGATATATAAAACTCCAATAGGTTAAGAACTTGGAATCATTTTGGCTCTTGACTGCGAAGCTGTGATTCCATGGTAGAGACAAAGGATGTTAGTGTGCTTGCATGTATGTAAATGTACCCCTACATGGCATTTAACCTTTCTGGAATTTAGCTGGTTTATATTAAATCTTCCTAAAGATTAGGGCTTTATTAACTGTAAATTGGATGCCACATTACAGGAACTGTACAAGCTTTGAGCTTGGGTGATATGCATAGATATAACACACTATGATTTTAGTGTGACAGAACCCATTTCATTGTATTAATTTATGTATCCATCCATTGAATATGGTTAGAAATGTATGGCAATGTGTTTAAGGATATGTGAAGCCAACATGTTTTTTTACTGGGCAGCTTCCAGTTGAGGTGTTACGACTGATTAGATGATTCTGTGTGTGCGGTGGAATTGCTAGCTAGGACATGGATCTCACTGACAGAAATTTCTCAGGAGAAATAGAAATCAGCCACTTTTGTTCTGAAAGACCTACTCCTCATGAGGGGCTGACAAGGGGCCCACAGTGATTTAGTTTGTTGTGGTCAGTTGTGGGTTGAACAGCTCAGGTGCTAATGTGCTATTAACATCTGTGCAGCCTTCATGGACATTTGATTGACAAAAGCTTCACTGTCTTAAAAACTTATGGTTTACTTACTTTACAGCCTAAGAAGGATATTCCAAACAACTGTGAAGATCAAAGGCTTTCAGTGAATGCCTTCTTTTGGAAATTAAGAAGTGGAACATCACCCCTACTACTCCACCATTTTAAAGAATTTCAATTTAAAAGCAAAAGGTTTAACAAGACTGTGATCTAAAAAAAAGAGAGCTTTAAATAGACAAAGGGGACATTGCTTTATTTTTTTTTTTCCTGATGAAAATGCCTTTGAATGTAATCCAATTAAATACACTAACATACTGGACATTTGTGGGAATGATGATTGTTGATTTTAAGATCAGTAATAATTCGTGGATTTTACAAGTCAAGAAGATAAGAACAATATGAACTGAATTATGACACTAATTATGGAGAACTAATTGGGAGTAAAGTTTCAAAGATCGAGTGAAGCAAAACAGGAAAACAAGGAGAACTCTCTCTTTTATTTTCACCATAATAATTGACATATTTTCACTTTCTCACCATCACAAGGAAGCTGCCAAATTGGGAGAAGGATGCAGGGGTTGAGAAATAGATAAAGACTTTTCCCCAGATTTATTGCAGAACATATTTGAAGAATTTGGCAAAAAGGTATCTGGAACAGATAAAAAGGAAAAGGAAGAAGGATTTTCAGGGATTTAAAAAGAATCTAAAAAAGAAGAAGTTAAGAAAATAGAAGAATCTATAAAGCAACTGATTGCAGACTTAAAACAAATTACTGACAAAATAAACTTCTGATTTTGATGATTAATCAGGATAGACTATAGAAAGAAGAGTAATGTGACATAACTTTCAAAAGAGAGGTTAAAATATATTTGTATTTATAATTGCTTTGAAGAATATCAGGAGCCACTTCTTTCCATATTTTCTTTTCTACTATTTTCTTTTTTCTTTTCTTGCACGTTTTTCTTCCTTAGTTTATATTAACTTGTATTAGTTTTTATTTTCATTTTTAAAAGTTTTAATAAAAATTATATTTATAAAACTTATATACACACATTTCTTTTGTTGGATCCTGGCAAAAATCTGTATATTGTCATGAATCTTAGGTTTTGGTCTGGAAACTTCTAACATTTTATTACTATTATACACAATAATTCCTTTCTCATTACTGCTTTCAAAGCTGAGTTTAGTTCCATGTTACACAAACTTATAAACATGCTGTAGCCAATTTAGTATAATCTGAATTTAGGCTTTGCCCTAAACAAAGAGTTATGTGGCCTGACTTTTTTTTTTTTTTTTTTTTACATTGCCAGAACATGATTTACTAACTCCATTTTGGGGGTTAAAAGGAGCGTGACCTTGCTCTGTATTAATATTTAAAGATTACCCTGTGCATGAAATCAGATGCTGACACAAGTCTCACAGGACTGGTGAGGCTTCTAATCTTTTGAAAGAAGTGGTGCCACATTGCAAATATGTACTGCAAAATATTCAAGCAACAGGATCGAACAAAATGTGAAGCCAGCGGGAAGCATTGTCGTGAAAATTTCAATCTGTACAAGCAGTTTTAGCAATAATCTATTTTTAAGTGAATTGCAATACCATGAAGGACATTGCTTAACATCTTAGCAAAGGCCAACAGCTTAATCTGGGAGACTGAAGCAAGAAGAATAATTCCCCCTAGTCAATTGTAAATGCATTTAGTGCCCTTTTCAAGATAATAAACAGAATCGACTTTTAGAAAAGGAAGGAAGGAAGGAAGGAAGGAAGGAAGGAAGGAAGGAAGGAAGGAAGGAAGGAAGGATTTTCTTGCTCAAAAGATAAATTTGGGTACTTCTGTAAAAGTATAAAAAGAAAAGAAACATAATTGCAAAAGAAAAATCTCTAGTTCCCATCTATCAGATCAAGTGTCCGCTTCAAAATTCTGCCAAAACAGCATTCTCATCAGTGGTGATATTCAGCCGGTTCTATCCAGTTTGGGAGAACCGGTAGAGGCAGCTGTGGGAGACTCCGCCGACCCGCCCGCATGTCAATACATCTCATTTTTGGCGCTCTGTGCATCCGCGGAAGGCTCTGCAGATGTGCAGAGATGGTGCATGCACTCACATTTGCAAACCAATAGCAAAGATAAGTGACTACCAATCCTGATTCTCATGTCCTGCTTATTATGTTAGAGGACAATTTTTATATCATGCAGTAAATGAAAGGGAGTTGCCTAATTTCAAAAGAAGAGTGTTTTCAGACTGCCACTTCCTCAGCTAGTTCTACAGTATATAATTACCATCACACCCACTTGTTTAGTTTTGGAAAAATGGGAAATTAGGAAAGAAGTGAGAGCGTTCCCAGGAGGTTCAGTGATTTCCTTACTAGAAGGATCCTCTAAATTATTTGTTTGTAAATATATATATATATATAATGCTTATAAATCACTGTATTTAATTTTAAAAGACAGGACGTACACAATTGTAATAAATAATAAATGCAACAACAACAACAAATATTTCAGGTCACCCAAGAGAAAAAACTTAAAAAAGAAAAAGCATAAAAGCACAGAAGGGGCTAATTTTGAAAATATCAGCATCCTATGTGTGCATGTGTGTATGTAGGAGTGGGTACATTGTTTCTGTGATAATTCTGTTCATCACCATATATCAACAGGTTTCCAAAAGAGCATTATAATGGTCTGCCAATGGGATGTAGTCCTGCAGTATTGCAGGCTACTTCAGCTGACTGCTAACTGCAGTTTGGCAGTTCAAATCTCACCAGGCTCAAGGTTGACTCAGCCTTTCATCCTTCCAAGGTGGGTAAAATGAGGATCCAGATTGTTGGGGGCAATAAGCTGATTCTGTAAACCACTTAGAAAGGGCTGTAAAAGCACTATGAAGCGGTATATAAGTCTAAGTGCTATTGCTATAGTACTATTGCTATGTAGTGCATTGCAGCCCCATTGTAAGGGAAATATGGTTGTCCCATAGTGGGGGAAAAGAGTACTTTGGCCCAATTGTCTGAAGCTATAAATACAAGCCATCTTGCCATTTTTAAATCAATAGATGCTCCTCTCAATCATCCAGGTTATGGTTGTCCCAAAGGTGCTTTTACAAAAGGCAACTGGACTTTCTTGGGTTTTTTCTGGAAAATATTTCGCTTCTCATCCAAGAAGAACTGAAGAAGCTTCTTAGATGAGAAGTGAAATGTTTTCAAGGAAAAAAACAAGAAAGTCCAGTTGCTTTTTGGAAAAGCACCTTTGGGATTTGTTGTTGTTAGTTGCGAAGTCGTGTCTGACCCATCGCAATCCCATGGACAAGGTTCTTCCAGGCCTTTCTGTCCTCTACCATCTTCTGGAGTCCACTTAAGCTCACACCTACTGCTCAAGTGACTCCATCCAGCCACCTCATTCTCTGCCATCCCCTTCTTCTTTTGCCCTCAATCTTTCCCAGCATTAGGTTCTTCTCCAGTGACTCCTTCCTTCTCATTAGGTGGCCAAAGTATTTGAGTTTCATCTTCAGGATCTGGCCTTCTAAAGAGCAGTTAGGGTTGATTTCCTCTAGGACTGACCAGTTTGATCGCCTTGCAGTCCAAGGGACACACCCCTTTGGGATATGCTCCTCTAAACTGTGTTACAGGTTTAGGAAACATTTTAGGAATTTAGGAAGCATTTTCAAAACATCTTTATATCAAGTAGATATGGAACTTTAAACTTCCTTCCTTCCTTCCTTCCTTCCTTCCTTCCTTCCTTCCTTCCTTCCTTCCTCACTTTAATTGGATCCATTTCCATCTTGGGAATGAGCACAGTTCAGAAGCAGAGAATGTGTTAGGGTTTGGTTCTGTAACAGAACCAAACCCTAACATCTCCAGATATAAAAAAAAGGAATCAGGAAACAATTGATGGAAAATAGAGACTCTGGAAAATCAGCTCAAAAAACTGAAAGTACAGAACTAATTGAAAAAACAAAAACCTGTTCTTCAAAAATCAGATTCCTGTGCCAGCTAGCTGACAACATATGATCTGATTAGCATTGGGTGCTGAAACTCACTATTCTAGTGTCTTTCTTCTCAAACATCTGAGAAACTAAGCATCCAGTTGAGTCTGATTGAGCCACTTAAGGTGAGTCCATTATTATCTTAACACTGATTGCTGATGCTGTTTTATTTCCTGTTGAAATTCCACTTTTGGAAATCTTCATTGTGTCTTTTAGCTGAAAGAACCACGATTGGGAAAGGACATTTTCAAAAAGATAGACAAATTGAAAGTCCTGTAAAATAATTTACTGCTCTCAATGGACACTGGATTCAGTCACTTCAAGCACTGATGCCAATTGAGAAAAACATGACAATGGCAGATTGCATGCAGGTTGTTGTGGATATAGATGATGATATTCTAAAATTCCTAAGGACAAAGACAAGGCTTTGACATGAATTAACCCTAAACAGAAGATCCAATTTTGTTGGCTGTTTTCATAGAAACTTTAACCAGGTTACTGAACTAATCTATTTTGTGAGTTTATGCAATATGCTGAACTCTAAGCAAACTAATTTATATATACTTACACAGCATGCTGTGTAAAAAAAAAAAATCTAACCAGAGTTAAAAATAACCGAGGTCAGTTTGTAGTGCTAATGCCACCATTAGGCTTCCAACTGACCTATTGTAAAGAAACACCAACCAGAGGAGGCTAAATTTTAATGGTAATCATCTTGAGGGTTTCATGATGCCTTTTCAAATCTCTTTTGTTCTCTTGCCTTGTTCCTTGTGTTACACCTTGTTCATAAATTCCCTTTTAAACAGAGGTTTGGCTTGTTGAATTTCTCCCAGCAAAACCATTAAGGTCCTGTTCAGTAGTGGGTTCTAACCGGCTTTACTACCGGTTCTCTTTGTGCACGCGCTTCGTGCGCGATTGCCACGCACATGCGAGCGAAGCTGGGCATATTCGCGTTAGGAATAAGCCCAGCTGAGGTGCGGCAATCCACTCTGCCGCACCTATCAGCTGGGCTAAAAAAGAAGAAATAAAAGGTAGGAATAGCATGGGGGCGGGCGGGAGGGCCCAGCTCCTGGACAAAGAGAACCAGTTTGGTGACATCATATCGTCACCGCTACCGGCTCGTCCGAACCAGGCCGAACCGGGAGGAATCCACCATTGGTCCTGTTCTTTCTCCCCCATCAAACTGCACTAAAACAAAAACCAAACTTTGATTAAAAAGAGTGAGGGGGAAGAAAGGTCAGTGCTTGAGACCACACTTTTGAAATAAATGTTTGAGGGGTCCTTGGTGCTCTCTGAGCTTGGTTGTTTTCTTACAGACATTTCATTACCCAAACTAGGTAACCTCTATCGGTTACCTAGTCTGGGTAATGAAATATCTGTAAGAAAACAACCAAGCTCAGAGAGCACCAAGGACCCCTCATATTTGTTTGTTTGTTTGTTTAATTTAGTTTGTCAAACATGTACGAGATAATCGGTATAAGTATAAACATGGACATGAGTACAGGTAATGAGCACAAATAAATGGGACAGTGGGACAGGGATGGTAGGCACGCTGGTGTGCTTATGCACACTCCCTTATGGACCTCTTAGGAATCGGGCGAGGTCTACGGTAGACAGTTTAAGGTTGAAGCTATGGGGGTTTGAGGTTGTAACAACAGAGTCAGGTAGAGCATTCCAGGCATTGACCATTCTGTTGCTGAAGTCGTATTTTCTACAATCGAGTTTAGAGCGGTTTACCTTGAGTTTGTATCTATTGTTTGCCCGTGTATATTCTCCTTTATTGGTAACACAAATGTTTGTGTGCAAAACTGAGCCCTGGAAACCATTTGCTTTTGACACATTGAGCATATTTTCTTTATTTTGCCATCACATTTGCTTTATGAGATAGTTTGCTTAATATCTTCTTATTTACTACAATTTGCTACATTTAATATCTGATATGGGTAGAAGACACATTTTTATTTTTTTTACC